CAGCGATGAAAACACAGAGACAATAGACAGAAAAGAACAGACACCAACCCAATCCATCCAAGCCGCTTATAAGGCAATGGCGCCAGGAAGACAGCAGAACCAGGTGGCTATAATCACTGCTAATTGAGGAGGGTCCAAGTGTCCTTGGCCTCTGTCCGTACCTCCTGAGTGTCCTCAGAGCAGCAGTCTGTGAGGCAGACCAAATTACAGACACAGACATGGCGCCAAACCAAACTTACAAACAACCCTTGGACTTTCGTCCAGGGTGGGACCAAGGGTCCCAGGAACACGTCTGCTTCTGGGGCACGTCTGCTTTCCCTATGGACCAAATCAAATGGCCCTCAGACTTTCGTCCAGGGCAGGACTCGGGGGTCTCAGAACACATCTGTTTCCCCCTGAGGTCCAAATTACCAAATACAAGTCCTGCGCAGGCACAGATCAAATTCAAGTCATGACACCAAACCAACAAAACAAACATGAACATAACATTGAACATATAAGTTGCAAGATCGAATCATCTTACCTCCAAGATCGAATCCACTCAGGTGAGGGGTTGTCACAAATCCAGGACGAGCCCCCAAATGTAAGACCCCCTGGAAAACTCAGGCCTCCAGGATCTCAGCCCAGGACCTCGGTCACCCCAATCACCAGGCAGATTCAAAAGCTTAATGCAAACTGCACAAGGCTTTATTGTTGTTTAACAAGCTAACCCCATGTTAGCCCCGGCCTTTCATCCACCTGCTGTGGTGGACACCTCGAACTGGCTGCATAGAGATCTTGTAGGGCAGCATAAGGAGAGTGTCTAGGGGTATGCCCAGGCTCAGGATTGGTGTGCCTCCAGGCTTGGAGGGCTTGCCCTATGTTAATTGGCCAACTGGTTGTCATGGCCCATAGGCCCTCCCAGCGTGGATGCCATGCTCTGCGAGTCATTGCTGTGCACTTGTCCATAAAGCACACCCAGAGCCGTAAATCATAGCACCACCAGCTAACTTCTGATTGGTTCTTTGCCACGAGGCAGGCATCTGACTTTTTAGTGACTAGGACAAAGTCAGACAAGCATGTGTTCAGCTGTTATGGCTGCCAAAATGGGGAGCTGGTCCCTTCAGTTACAGTTTCACAAGAGCTCACTAGAGCACATTTGTAAGGAGCCTTGTAACCAGGCAGGCAAAGGCCTGGCTGAAGAAAGATTAAAAGAAGGGGAGTATATGCCCACTACCTGGCCATTGTAGATAAGAGTGAGAATGTGTGGAGTATGGCAAAGTGTGATTAGCAAGATTTCACATGCCCAGACATTGGTGGCACACACCTTTAATCCCAGTACTGGGGAGGCAGAGGCAGGTGGATCTCTGTGAGTTCGAGGCCAGCCTGGTCTCCAGAGCAAGTGACAGGATAGGCTCCAAAGCTACACAGAGAAACCCTGTCTCAAAAAAAAAAAAAAAAAAAAAAAGATTTAGCAAACTATTTAAGGACTCTATGTCCTGGATCTCTCCTCAGCTAACCTGAGACAACCAGTCCATCAAGCTGAGTGCTGCCTGTTCTGAACCCGATACTATGATAACCATGACACTGGGCCCTCAGGAGACTCAATCGATTGAATACACAGGAACAGAAGTCCGGAGCCCGAACAGAGGTAGCCCCTGCTGTGAGCCTATTATCTCTGGTTCTTAGGATTGTTTGTGACAAAGTGTGATTAGCAAGACTTAGCAAGCTATTTAAAGGACCAGCTCAAAATTGGGAACTTTAGATCGTACTACAACTCTATGTCCTGAAGCTCTCCTCCGCTAACCTGGGACAACCAGTCCATCAAGCTGAGTGTCGCCCGTTCTGAACCCGATACCCTGATAACCACGGCACCGGCCCTCAGGAGACCCAATGGTTGGAATCCACAGGAACAGAAGTCCCGAGCCTGAATCTTCGGACAGCTGCAGGAGAGGTACCCCCTGCTGCAAGCCTATTGTCTGTGGTTTTTAGGATTCTTTGCTTATGCTTGTGTGTTGCTTTGACATAAGTGTAAAGTAAAATTTATATACTCAAAACCAACTGGCTGAGGTTTTTTTTTTAGTTGATTTTTTTATTTGAATTAGAAACATGATTGTTTTACATGACAATCCCAGTTCCCTTCTCCCACCCGTCCTCCCCTACCCCCCCAACTAAAACCTTATCTGTCACATATTTTTTCTGCTCCCCCTGGATGGTGAGGCCTTCCATAGGGTGTCATCAGAGTCTTTCGTATCCTTTGGGATACGACCTAGGCCCACCCCCATGTGTCTTGGCTCAGGGAGTATTCCTCTATATGGAATGGGCTCCCAAACTCCACACCTATGCTAGGGATAAATATTGGGCTTCTATAGGAGGTCCCATAGATTTCTGAGGTTTTCTCATAGAAACCCATGTTCCTGGGGTCTGGATCAGTCCCATGCTGGTATTCCAGCTATCAGACTGGGGAGCAAGAGTTCCCGGATGTTCAGGTCAGCTGTTTCTGTGTGTTTCACCAGCCTGGTCTGGACCTCTGTGCTCTTCACTGGTCCTTTTCTGCATCTGGGTTCCAGTTCAGATCAGTGATTAGTTATGGGTGTCTGCTTCTACTTCCACCAGCTGCTGGGTGAAGGCATGTAAGTCAGTCATCAATCTCATAATCAGGGGAGGGCATTTAAGGTGGCCTCTCCTCCATTGCTGAGATAGTTAGCTGGTGTCATCTTTGTGGATCTCCAGACATTCCCTAGTGCCTGATTTCTCTGTGAACCAAAGATGTCTCCCTCTATTATGATATCTCCATTCTTGTTATCATGTATTCTTCCCCTGACTCATACTTTCTGCTCCCTCATGTCCTCGGCATCCCTCTTCTTCTCCCCTTCTCATTCTCCTAGCTCCCCCCCTCTCCAGCTGAGTTTTGAGACAACATTCCTTATATAAATACTTTCATCTCAATGCAGGGTCCTTAAGCTTTCAAATAACTAAGGAACAAGCTTTTCAGATAGTTAAAAATTGCCCACTTTGTGTGGAATTTCTTCCTGTACCTCACTTGGGAATTAATCCCCAAGGATTGTTGCCTAATCATATTTGACACATGGGTGTAACACATGTGCCATCCTTTGTCAAATTGCAATTTGTCCATGTTTCTGAAGATACCTTTTTTTCCAGACTAATACTTGCTTCTGCCCATTCTGGTAAAAATGTAAGAAATGTTAAAAGCCACTGCCTACAGGTATTTGCTTATGGGTGTTCCAAAACAAATTAAGACTGATAATGGCCCCATCTATGTCATCAAAGTTTCAATCAGTTTTGTCAGGATTTTGAAATTATCTCAAAAACTGACATTCCTTACAACCCCCAAGGGCAGACTATTATGAAATGAGCCCGCCACACTTTAAAAGCTTATAAGGGAAACTTGATGGTCACCTTGGCTCCCCTAATTCTACTATATCACTTGTTCTCTATATTTAAAAAATTTTAATAGTGGATAATTTTAATTGGTCTGCAGCAGATCGTCATTGGCGGTCCACTGCACAGAATAGACCTCTGGTTAAATGGAGAGATCATCTCTCAGGCCTTTGAAAAGGGCCAGATCCGGTTTTGGTGTGGGTTTGGGGGTCCATTTGCATTTTCCCACATGGAACATGTGGATTTAAAAGGAAGAAATTTTCTAATCATTGGCCTTGGCTGCTTATTAAAGCTGGAAGCCAAGCCAACCTTTTCCCACATGTTCCTCTGCTGGCCGTAGGCCTGCTTAAAATGCAGTCTCTTTGGCTGCCCAAGGGGTTAATTTAACTTACAGTGTGTGCTCCTACACCCTTTGATATGCTAAGTAACCCTCCCCCGGGAGAAATGTTTAACAGTTTCCTTCAGAAATGCCACTTAGAGAAGCTGTCGAGGTGATGGGATCGCAACCTCGGTGTTCGTGGTACCGAATAGTGGGAGATCTTGATATCGTGACTTCCTCACCCAACTCAACGGGAGTCAGGCTTACCCCAGCTAAGTCAGAAGATACTCGGCGCCTGGTACCAGGGCTTTAATAGAGGCCCGAAGGCCGTAGTCAGAAACCGTGCGGCTCAGACCACGATGGGGATCATACGCAACAGGAGAGCCTATCCAAGTCACGGCACCAAATGTAAGCATTTTGGGCGGATCAGATGGGACAGGTATTCTGGCACTCGGGAGTCTCAGAACACTGAGTGTTACACGCTCAGATGGAAAGGTATCCTGGAACTCGGGAGCCAAGGAACACCACAGGTCACTGTCCTGTTTCAGGGATGGTTTCCCTGAAGCCATCAGCTCTGCTTCGGCAGGTAAGGTTAAGTTTCACCCGCAAAACTGTTACAGTCCTGCTCTCTCTGCTCTGCCCAAGGTCATCTCTGCTCCACTGCAAAAAGTCTTTACACAAAGCTCATCCAAGGGGCTTATTAAGAAGGAAGAATACAGGAAGAATAGCAGAAGACAGCCAGGCAGCCCAAACAGCCACAAGCTGAACAGACACAGGGTTTATTTAAGGATTCTCAGGGGGCAGAGTTTTTCCAAGGGGTAGGGATGGGTCAGATTTCAGTCTCTGAACTCAGATTGGCTAGATCTCCTGTTCAGAGATTGGTTAGTTTTCTGCACAGTCTTGGGGTCAGATTTGGCTCTGGTTTCAAGGCCAAAGGGTCTTTCTTTGTCTCTGCTCAGGGTGTGTCTCTGCTTGCTGTGTAGGTGAGAACGATCTTGAGCCTCTGGTCTTCTTGCCTTCATATCCCCAATGTTAGGATTACAGGCTTAGGTCAATTTGTGCAGTGCATCACTCTACCAACTGAACTAAATCTCCAGCCCTAAAAATTCAGTTAATTTTCAGCTGTATTTTATTTTCCTTTAATTCTCATTTCATTTATTTCCGTTCTTTTTGTTCAGTGCTACTAAACTGTGAAAATTCAAAGATGGAATCAGAGGCCAGGGGACGGAAATAACGCCATCACCTCCTTACAACGAAAACAAATTACGTTGTGTTGAGAGGCTTGTGAGACTGAAGCCCACCATTCAGTCCCCGCCACATTTGAGCCACTGGAATTCTGGGAAATGTAGTCCTGTATAGACACTTCCGCTATCGGGTCACATCCACACTGAGGCTGTCAGATCCACAGTAAGCGCCACAGTGGAGACAGTGCAAGGTGAGATGGCTCAGCCGGGAGACCCCAAAGAGTTCGGGAACTGGTCGAAGCCACCGCGGAGCCCTTAGACAGGCTCATGGCACATGCGCAGAATGGACGTGTTGCGATCCTTTTCTTGGTTTGGGTTGAGGTGGGACGGGGTCCCTGGGTGTTCTTCTGATGCGTTTAGGGCATCCGCAAAGTGTCCTGGTATGTAACGAGCTTGGGGCCGTGGAGGACGGGAGGGTGAGGATAAGAGGGGTGGGGTTTGGGGGGGGGGGGTGTGAGGGTGGAGGTGGGTGAAGCGGAGGAGTTATTACTGATGCTGCAACCCTGTGTGGGAGGGGACCCTAGAGGATTAAATGGCGGAGCATCGGTAAATAAATCATTCTAGTCGGAGAGAGTAGGCTTGGAATATGAAGAACCAGTGGAATTCAACGGACAAGTCCTTCGGTGGAAGCGCTTTGTAGGTCTGTGTGCCAGTGAGTCTTGGGTGGCAGGTTACGTGTGACCTTTTTGTCAGCGAACCTCAACAACAATGATGTGTCGTTTGGGTGCCAGCAAATATGGCGTTGTTTGGGGGTTGATTTACAAGATTCGGTTGTGTCATGGATTTCATTAACTGGAATGCATATTGCTGTAAGGACATTAGAACCCTGTCTTCCTGAGAAACAGCAGAGGTTAAGAAATCTCTTGCCTTTTGTATTCCAGGAGAGACTCGTTGTAAAGGGTTCTCATCCGCGTACAATAAAATGTCTGCCTCTCCTTTGTTATCAATGATGACAAACCTGAACGGAAGTCCTCCATTTTTATTCTTGCCTCAGATGATTAAATGAACTACGCACCAGTCAATCCCAACAAAAGGGTTTTTAAACAAACTGGTTAAGTTTCCTTTTTTTCTTTCTCCCCTTTTTTAATTTGAATTAGAAACAAGATTATTTTACATTTCAATCCCAGTTCCCTCTCCCTCCCCTCCTCCCCTATCACCCTCCCCCAACTAAAACCCTACCTGTCTCATATGCCACTGTGAGAGCTCACACCCAGATGTGCTGCAGTCACCAAAGAACCTAGAACAATAGGGTCAGGGAGAACAAGGAACCACAGAAAGACAGGTTTCTGATCAAGCCGCAAATTTTTATTTTTCACAGGGACCTTATATAGGGGTGCCAATCGGGGAGCTTGGCAGGCAGGGAGAGGTTGTTTGAAGCCATATGCCTGATAACCAAACCAGAGGGGGTGTGGATATGCCCCTGTTAGATAGTGGGTTAGAAGGGGAAGGGTTGCTAGGTATCCCGACCATGAACTATATCTTTCCTTCTATAAGATACTTTATGAGCCTAGGTGTTATGTATCAGGGAGGAAAGGATTGAAGGCAGCTATTCTTTTCATCATAATGGGTTATGCTGGCAGCTTTCTTGGAAGTAGCCCAAGTCTCTTACAGGTCCAAGGTTGCTTTTGCCATGGCCCCTGACATCTCCCCCTTTTTTACTTTATTCAAAGGAGAAAGGAGGAGGCAGGGGCTCGATCCTCCTGTGGAAGAGTGGTGGGCATTGCGTCAAAAGGGCCTTTTGCCAAGCTAGGTTGGGTCGAGCAACCCTGGACCTCCCAGGATGTCTTTTTGGGAGGGGAGGTGTTATAGACATCAACCTCCCTGCAAATGAGCATGCCTCCGAGGGATCCAGGCTAGTTTACCTTTTATTATAAACGTCCCTTTGCTGTCTGTAAGCAGTCATTCTCCCTGAAATGAGCCAGGTGGCAGACATGCCTGGAAATGTTAGCACCAAGAAGAGGGCTTGTTGAAAGGGTAGGGTCCCCTAAGGCTGGATGGAGATGGAGGGGGGGTGATGAGTGAAATCATGACCGCCATCTGAGTGGCTCAATGATGATAATGGACCTGAATGGGCTTAGCAATGAGAGAATCTATCTGTTGTTTAATGAAGCCAGTTAAGCAATTAAATGCCCAGGGGCCAAAAGAAATTAACAACAAAAGCCCTATAAAAGGTCCTAAAATTGAGAGTTATCACCCAGGGGGAAGTAGAGAGCCAGTCTTGGTACCAGCTTTTGTTTTTGGCCCTCCCTAGTTTTCTTCTTTCCAATCCTTCTCTAACCTCTTTCATTGCATCCTTTACCAATCCTGTCTTATCTACATAGAAGCAACATTCTTCCTTCAGGGCAGCACAGAGACCAACTTGTTGAAGGAGAAGTAGATATAATCCCCTGCGGTTTTGAAGGACTACCTTACTTAGGGACCGTAGGGAGTCTGCAAGGTCAGTTATTCCTGCCTGTAGTTTCTGGACATCCCAGTCAATAGTGGTACTGAGTTCATCATAGCGTTTGGAGGATAGAGCAAGGGATGATATGCCTGTTCCTGCTCCAGCAGCTCCTAGCCCAAGCAAGACAGCCACAGTTAGTGCAGAGATGGGTTCCCTGCGAGTGAGGAGAGGGGCAGAGGTGGGAGTTAGGGGAGGGAAAAATTCCTCTGAGGGGTAGTAGGAGAGCCGTGGGACTAGCTGGACAAGAGTACACATCTCGCCCTGTTGGAACAAAGGGTTATAAATGCAGGGGGGTGAGGCCATCGGAACAGACCCACCAGGCATTGCTAGGAGGAATCAGCAGGGACAGGGTAAGGTTGCAGAGGTGAGAATGAATTAAGGGAATTGAAAATGGGAGGTGCCACCCAGGGACCGGAACCCATGAGCTGGCTAAGGGTGATCTTGGAGGTGGGGTTTTCAGGAGGAGGAGAGGGGTGGTTATTTTATCTCAGCATGCCAGTTTTCCTCTTCTCCACGCATATCTCCAAACGGTCCAGCAGCCATCTTGTTTTATTGTTTTCCTGTAAGAAAGCACAAACATTTCCTCCACCCTTTTTTTGCTGTTTGGTGTATAGGTTGTTTTTATTATTTTTATTTATTTATTATATTTGGAACTCCTATGTAAGGAAAACATTATTAAATAGTCATATGTTTAGAAATTTAAATATCTATCAATTGTCATGTGTATATATTTTAATTTGTCTAATTTTGTAATATGAGTAACATTCATTTGCCATGGATGATTAGGAAGTAGACCTCTAGGGTTCATTCCTAAATTAGGTACAGATAAACATTGTGGGTACACCTTATTGTTTGGCAGTTTTGACAAGCAGTCTCTTTAGTTAAACCAAATTGTTTTCTTAGAGATTTTGTTATTTTAATGATGAAAGTTATGAGACTGTAGAGTTCTCTCTATCTATTAACAAATCGATGGATTTTATTAATCAATCTCTTGACTCGTTCCCTGTAGCCAGTAGGCAGGGAAAAACAATTTTATGTGGCCCATGAAACATGGCAATTTTTATAAGTGAATAGCATTTTGAATTTAACATTTTTAACATGATCATTATAATTTTTATGTATAGAATTGTCTCTATTATTTAAAGAGCCTTAAAAACATGATTATTAACAAATTAATTAAACATGATTATTAAAACAAATTAAATGAATCATTTTATTAGATGCTGAAAGACCATTGCAATAGCTCGTAACTTGATGACCTGAGCTGTGGTTAGAGCAGTCTGTTCTGTATATTTTTTTTTTACCATTTATAATATAAGCTGTTCTTATATTAGAAGAACAGTAAAAATTGACATAGTATTTTATGAGATTATTTCTTACTATTTTGGGGGGGAGAATATATTAGTATAAACTGTAACAGCCTATGAGCTGCAATTGATTATCAATGTTCCCCGAAAATTTAGCAAAAACAAATGCCCAATGAATCGTTATTTAGAAATAACTAATCAACTTGTTACTTGACATAAGTAACATAATTTTTTTTATCTTTAAGCCTTAAATTCTTTAGAATTTAGCATATGTCCCAAACAATTTTTGAAAATTTACTTAAAGGTTTTTTAGCAGCCTTTTCTAATCCATCCTGTTAAACTTTTCACTAGCTGACATTAAAAATTGAGGATTTTTGTATCCTCTCCTCTGCCAAATTTCATAGAAATATCCACACAGATTCCCCTTTGCTCCTAAGTCAACGAGGCTGATTGGATGTTCTTATTAACTATATTTAAAGCAATTTAGGTGGCTTTTTAAGTATATCCAAAGCAATCATATCCAAGGCAATTTAAGCAGTTTCTTTTGTCAGCATTCATGCACTCACAATCACATACCATGCATTCAGGTGTGGCTACACCGTACACACAGAACATGCACACATTTTCCATCATTCCTTTTGCCTAGGTTATAGCCAGTGTATTGAAATGAAAAATCCCTAATTGAAATCTCTTGTAACAAAGCAATTATAGCCAATTCTTGAATTGTGAGCATCCAAAATTTGAACAGATCCAAATTTTTCTATGCTGTCTTTCTTTTTCCATAAGGTCTTAAAACAGTTTTAATTGGTTGTATTAATAGTATTTTTTATACATTTGACCAGGCGTCAGTGAGACAGAGAAGGGAATAGCTCCCAAAGGCTGCAAGTGTTTTGATTTTGGCCCTGGCCTTTCTTGCCCTCTGTCCTCTGGGCTTGGGCTGACCTATTATAAATGATCTGTGGCTGCCTGCTGTGGCTGTAAATTTTCTTATCTCCTGTGAGAGCAATTTGGCTAAATCCTTTAAGCCTCCTAGCTCTCCACCATTAGCTATTGCCTCTCTACATTTTCAGTTAAAAATGAGGGGGGGTGCGTAAATTAATTTGTGGGGTTAGATGGTGTAGTTAGTACCCCAGATACATATACATATGAATTTTATCAGGTACTATTTGGAGCCCTCTTTGAGTTAGGCTGGAAGTTAAATCTCGAAGGCACCTGGAAAGCTGCTCCTGCTGGGCAGCAGCCAAAGAATGTAAACAGAAGGCATATATATATACATATACATATACATATACACATACACATATATACATATATACATATATACATATACATATACATATACACATACATATATATATAGAGAGAGAGAGAGAGAGAGAGAGAGAGAGAGAGAGAGAGAGAAACAAATTTTGGGGTTAAGGTGGGGCTGTTGGCCATGCCCTGAAGGCAAAACCTTCCACTAGTAGGGAGGCATAGGGCCCTGGAAATTAACCTGGGGAACACTAGAGGCAAAGTGAGGCTTATCCTCAGGGTGTAGGGGAATGGTGAAAAAGCAGTTTCTAAGATCTTGGGGACCAGGGTCGGTCCCGTAGGAAGTTTCCCAGATGTTGTGAGGGTAGGGGTAGGCCCTGAGCTTTAGTTTTAGATCTGCTTTCATTAGCCCAATATCTGCCTCTTTGGCAATGTGGGCATATAGTAGAGGGAAGCGGCCACTTCACACCTGTAATTGTAGGAGTTCTGAGAGCAGGGCATTCTCTAAAGAAGTGACCAGGTTGTTTGCAATTAAAGCAAGTTAAATGCCCCGTGCCATTAAAGGCCATATGTTTAACAGACAGGTTTTAGAAGACCTGTCTGTTAAACAGGTCTTCTTTTGGTTGCAGTGAGCAAAGTCCCTGCAACTCTCCATAAACTCAATTTTACACACGACAAAGTCTCCTCCTGAGAGGGAAGCACATGCTAGCCTTTGCCAGTCATTAGGGAGTAACCATTTGTCACTATAACTCTGGGAGAGTAAGGGTGGATGGGACAGTGGGTACATAGTTGGAAGGACAAGTTGAACGGGAAGCCACTTTGGATGGGGATCGGGAATTTTCCTTTAGGGTCTTTCTCCTTCCTTGATCAGATTTTGGATATCAGGGTAGTCATTACAGACCCTGAGGATGTCAATAATGAGATTCCAATAGGAGAAAATGGAAACAGGGACCTTTTCTGGCCCAAAAGTCTCATAGTAATCTTTTAAACAGTCATCCACTCTCTTCCATCTATTTACATCAATGGTTCCCTCTTGGGGAAACCAAGGGCAGAGATTCCCTATATAATCTAAAAATTCCTTTAAATCTTTATCTTAACCCTTGTTCTTCGTGTCCTGAGAGTCTCCTTGAGGCCTATAGTAAACAAATCGTGTTTACTGAATGTCTGCCCCATAATGTACCTCTTCATCGCCTCAATCCTTAAACATCGGGTCTGTCTCATGGGCAGATGATCCATGGAGATCTCACGCAAGCTGTTGCAGGACCTCCTCTGCGTGGGCGAGGCTGCGGTCGCTTAGGAAAAAGGTCGAGAATCGACTGTGGAGACAAGGGGTCCTGGGTCCTAAGAGGGTGGAGCCCCACATTTGGGCACCAGAAATGCCCCGACCTGAGGGGCACTGCGAGAGCTCATACCCAGATGTGCAGCAGTCACCAAAGAACCTAGAACAATAGGGTCAGGGAGAACAAGGAACCACAGCAAGACAGATCAAGCCGCAAATTTTTATTTTTCACAGGGACCTTATATAGGGGTGCCAATCGGGGAACTTGGCAGGCAGGGAGAAGTTGTTTGAAGCCGTATGCCTGATAACCAAATGGGGGGGGGGGGGAGAATGCCCCGTGCGTGAGTCCTTGAGAGTGCAGGAAGTTACCAAGGTCACAGGGTGCAGGTGTTAGATAGTGGGTTAGAAGGGGAAGGGTTGCTAGGTAACCCGACCACGAAATGGATCTTTCCTTCTATAAGATACTTTATGAGCCCAGGTGTTATGTATCAGGGAGGAAAGGATTGAAGGCAGCTATTCTTTAATCATAATGGGTTATGCTGGCAGCTTTCTTGGAAGTAGCCCAAGTCTCTTACAGGTCCAAGGTTGCTTTTGCCATGGCCCCCAACACACATACTCTTTCTTCTCCCAGGGAGGGTGAGGGCTTCCATAGGGGGTCTTCAGAGTTGTCATATCCTTTGGGATAGGGCCTAGGGCCACCCCCGTGTGTCTTGGCTCAAGGAGTATCCCTCTGTGTGGAATGGGATCCCAAAGTCCATTCCTATGCTAGGGATAAGTACTGATCTATTACAAGGGGCCCCATAGGTTTGCAAGGTCTCCTCACTGACACCCACGTTCATGGGGTCTGAATCAGTCCCATGCTGGTTTCCTACATATCATTCTGGGGACCAAAAGCTCTCCCTTGTTCAGGTCAGCTGTTTCTGTGGTTTTCACCAGCCTTGTCTGGACCCCTTTGCTCATCACTCGTCCTTCTATGCAACTGGATTCCAGTTCAGTTCAGTGATTAGTTGTGGGTGTCTGCTACTACTTCCACCAGCTGCTGGATGAAAGCTATAGGATGGCATATAAGTCAGTCATCAATCTCATTATCAGGAGAGGGCATTTAAGGTAGCCTCTCCTCTGTTGCCTAGATTGTTAGTTGGTGTCATCTTTATAGTTCTCCAGACATTTCCCTAGTGCCTGATTTCTCTTTAAACCTATAATATCTCCCTCTATTATAGTATCTCTTATCTTGCTCTCTTCTTTTCCTCCCCCAACTCAACCTCCTGCCCCATCATGTCCTCCTCAGCCCTCCTCTTCTCCCCTTCTCATTCTCCTAGTTCCCTCTCCCCTCCCCCTGCCATGCTCCCAATTTGCTCAGGAGATCCTTTCCCTTTCCCCACTCTAGGGGACCATGTATGTCTCTCTTGGGGTCCTCCTTGTTTACTAGCTTCTCTGGCAGTGTGTATTGTAGTGATCCTTTACACTGACTAAAATCCACATATCAATGAGTGCATACCATGTTTGTCTTTTTGTGACTGGGTTTCCTCACTCAGGATGGTTTCTTCTAGTTCCATCCATTTGCCTGCAAATTTCAAACTTCCATTGCTTTTCTCTGCTGAGTAGTACTCCATTGTGTAAATGTGTCACATTTTCTCTATCCATTCTTCAGTTAAGGGGTATCTAGGATGCTTCCAGGTTCTGACGATTACAAATAATGCTGCTATGAACATCTTTGAACAGA